TGCTTCTACTTACACATGTGACCGGCACAAAACTCTCAACGACTGCGGTCCGAACCTGGCCAGTGCCGGCCGCCACCCAGTCACCCTCGGCGAATAATGCCACGCGGCGCCCACGCGCTGATCTGACAAATGCGTTTTGCAACCGTCCTAATGCACTATGACCACGCGGGCCACACGCGCGCCCCCCCGCGCGCATGTTGAAATCATGTGCAATGCCCTACTTACTCGCAATTTCAAGACGTCGACGCGCAGAGACTACCACAACCCGGTGCGTTTTACCCGAGCAGTTTGGCAGATTTCTGCGCGCGCACCCCCTGAAATCATGAAGAGCCCCCTTCGCGTGCCCTTGTTCCATACTGGACCATGCAGGCCACGCGCGCGCGCATGTCGAACACATCTAACGGTTATCGCGCACCCGCAGATTCTGTTGAGCAATGCCATTCGGGGCAAACGTGCGCCTCCTGGCTCGCGCACTGATTGTTCAAATATTGCGAACTTCTGCTAGATATTTCTACACCTTAATGGTCCAAACGCTTGAACAACATATTCTCTTTTCAAGAACATCTCAGTTCGGATTGTTCCATGTCTGCGGAAGCACTTACTCATCACTGACATCATCGCCAATACCATTGCCATCACCATCGTCAGCCTCGTCGTTGCCACCGTCATCAGTTTCATCGTGTCCCCGTCACCATCTTCGTTGTCATCATCATCGACGTCGTCATCAACGCTGCCATTGTCATTGCCATCGTCTTTGTCGTCGTCCTCGTCATCGTCGCCACCGTCGTCGTCGCCATGTGTCCGCCCGAGCCGTGGATCCGCGTGAGCAGGGCCCCTCCGTCGTCACAAAATTTGAATGTAGCCGACAAGTTTCAGGTTGGTGGGTGGTAATTGTGCTCGAGCATCGGTGTCGACCATGGCCACTGGAGGTAATGGCGACTTCAAGTTATTCAGAATTAGCTGAGCCTCCTAGGTGGCCTCACACACATAGCACCCCGCCACATATATGCCACCGCCGATCATGTATCCCATCTATTCCACAGCGTATAGTGCACACCGAGAATGTAAAAACTCACTGTTTGGGTCCCAGGCAGACAATCATGTCAGGTCAGGTAAGCCTTGCACCGGTCGGTGCGTGAGCAGCGAGAAAACATGCAGAGAACATGCAATTAGCAGCGTGACCAGATCTCGACTGCGCGCCCCCATTCGCGAGCTGCACCGCCGTCTTGGCACAAGTAATCTGCGAATCGCCCGTCGGAGCCAGCAGCTGCCAGTGAATTATTCCGCACAAGGTGCCCACAAGTCTGGCGAGGCCTTCCTCGACTCCTTGCTCCACCAGGCTTGCGCAGATCTAAAACTCCCTGTTCAAGCGCCGAGCGTCGAACTGGATCGTTTCTGGGTCGCCTCGCCAGCTGCCCCATGCATGCCAATTGTCTTCTAGCGAAGTGGTTGCTAAGCTTGTTTTGCCCGGCAATGTTTGGCACGGCTGCGTTAAACACACCACGCAAATATGCGTGGGGAATTCGACATTTTCTCCAGAGACAGCGGTTATGCAAGGCGCCCAGCCTTTGCCGCTCCGCTTTGTTTAAGCATGCAACAAGAAGCGCGTGCAAAAGTTTAGAGACAATGCGCGCGCTGAAAATTTGTATTTCACGGTGCCTGCTCAGTCTAGCATGTGACCAAATCGAATGCAACACCGCTAGGTCTTGGGTTGCTGCTCGTAGCCTGCGGCTTAGCTCGGATCCGATCCTCCCGTCTGCCGACAATGACGTGCCAAGATATGCGATGGAACTCTTGTTTGCGATCGGCGCCCCGGCATTGTTGCGCACGTCATCGTCTGCCCTGACTTTCATGAGTTCGAATTTGCCCCAATCGAAGCTCAGGCCGTAGTGCGACCCGCAAACCTCGACGCACTTCATCAACTCCTGCACCACCGAAGAATCGCTGTCGATCAAAAGAATGTCGTCCACATATACCAGGTCCCGTACCACATGCGTTCTTGTCTGTGGGCCGATGCGCCGGTGGAGTTCCACATTGGCGTCGGCCAAAAACATCGCCATTACGATAGTGATCAGGAAAGGTGACAGAGGGCATCCTTGACAGGATCCATAGCGTTGGGGTCGCTCGTCAGAATTGGACCCAAAGTCCGTCACGATGAAAGTCCCTCTCCCGTAAATTGCTGACACCATCTGCACGAAACGGCATGGGCAACCGAATCTTCGCAGAGAAGATGCCAGTGCAGCGGGATGCACCGAATCGAATGCTTGCGCCCAGTCCAGCGCCAAGAGATAGACTTTGCCGTCCCAAGTGCTCCATGCGCCCTCAAGGGTCCTGCGGGCCAGGAACACTGCGTCCACCGTACCCCGCTTGGATCGGAAGCCAAATTGTCTGCCAGACTCAGTTTTCGGCCCCCGCGTGTTTCAGCCACCTGACCAACACACTTGCAAACGTTGTGTATCCAATGGGCAATCAGCTAATTGGCCTATAACATTCGCATTCTGAGTGTCACCCTTTATATAAATCATCCGTACTCGCGACCTGTGCCAATCATCAGGCACTTGTCAATTATCGCAGGCAGTGTTGCAGAAACGCGTAACCCACGAAAGCACTATAGGTCCATCCTCCGTGGCTGTCCTCCAAAACTCTAGCGGCAAGTCGTCGAACCCTCCAGCTTTTCCTGGCTTGAGGGCGCGAGCTGCGCGATGTACCTCGTCTTCCGTGGCGGCGCCAAGATTTCTGTTCAATTCGGTCTCGTAGAGGGCGTCCGTCGGCATAGCGTTCGTCGGCCGCACTGCCCATTGCACCCGCTCCAGGTGCTCAGCAAGAATGTCGGCCCGGCAACCGCTGCCTACCATCTCCCCCGTAGAGTTTCTGAGCCTCCCCTGCTGGCGGCAATGCCCTTCTTCGGAGCTTCCGTATTTGGCCGCAATCTCCGTCGGCTGTCAGCACATCCAGCCAAGCCGCCTCATCCTGCGCCACTGTTGACTTAATATGTTTCGCAATGACGCGTTCCTCTTCTATTTTACCTTGTCTCGTTGCCGTAGCGCGCCGCTCGATGAGCTCGACCGTGCGAGGTCGGCTCCATGGTTTCCGAGGCCTCAGAGGCTGTGTTGGCAAACCGATGCCGGATGCATTCCGGAACCCATCAACAAGCTGACACCACGCCAGGTTATCATCATTACTGCTGGGCGCCGCCTCCTGAAAAGTGTCCAAAGAGTCGACGAGCACGTCGATGAAACGTTGTTGCGAAGCGTTAACTCACATCAGGCCGACGCTTGGGCTCGTCCACCAAAGCCTTGTCCACATTCATGCAGACGCCGGCCTTCACCAAGAAGTGGGGCGAAGACAGAGGAACGTCAGACAGCACAGACACACAAGTAATATTGTGCCCAGGATTGCTCGCATACCACATATTCTATCTGGAAGAGCGCGCGCCAGTCCACACGGCCCCCTGCCCGGCAGCCCACGTTGTAGCTCGTAGCCAGCTGCTCCTGCGACGACTGGAAAAAAGGTATTTGCGAGGCGAGGCACATCGACAATTGCGAGCACATTTCAACGAGCAAATACCTGTTGGCATCATCCTTACTGCTGTGGCCCGGGTGCCTGAAAAGTAAGGGCCCGCAACGAGGCCTTCGTCGTCGAACGTGTCGTAAAGCTTCGCATTAAAGCTGTCGGAAACCAACTTGGGGCCGCGAGAAGAACGGGAATTGACGAACTCTCCCAAGTCATGGTGAAAATCTTGTCGTTTTGGATAATCGTACCCAGAATGAGGAGCATAAGCAGAACACACCACCGCCTTCCGACTTGGCACACTCAATCTCAGAGATGCCATCTGGTCAGAAGCCTGACAGAATCCGATGATAGACTGCCTGAGGCTGGGGTCGACGATGAAACCGACTCCTGTCCTGTCCTCCTCCGTGCCCCCTTTGCCGCCCGACATGATCACCAGAAAGCCTGAGTCCGTTATGAACGTGTCTGACTTTGGTACCCACGTTTCTTGAATACACACTAAAACCACGCCGGCTTTATTCATAGCAGTTTCGAGCTCAACCTGTTTCGACTCAGTGTATCCTTCTATGTTCCATGACGCGATAGCGAATTCTTCTCTGGTGCGTCGTAAACGACGTCCCCAGACAGCAAGAAGCGGTAGTGCGGCTTTGTCGACACAAGGGCTCCTGCTTGATGAAGTGTGAGGGCCTCGTGTGGGATCGTCGCGCTTCGGCGTCGGTTCCCTGCGGCACTTGTGAAACTTCTCTGCTCTCGCGCCGCTGGCCCTTCCTTCCCACCTTTACCCTTCCTCTTCCCCTTGGGCCCTCCCTTTCCACTTCCCTTGGAAGGAGCACCATCGAACTTGCGTCTCATCTGATCGATGAGATTCGGGAAGTCGGGGTAGTCCGCGTCTGAGAACCATGTTTCCCAACCGGTCCCGTACCACACCTTAAGACTGCCATTGTCGATGGGAACTTTGACGGCAATATCTTCGCCCACCCAGACTTTTCCTTCCTCGGGGTCGGCCCACGCGGCTTTTCCATCAGATCCCCACTTTTTCAGTAAGTATGTCATTCCGAACACGAGGGAGGTAACGACACGCTTCTGTAATGGTTGGTCTTGCTTTGTCCAAACTGTGTTTCCCCCCTCATTGAGATCCGCTTTCCGGAAGGCCTTAACTGCCGCATCACGGTCTCTGATGGTACCACACTTCGCAAACAGGGTCCCCTGGAACTCCCCCTTGGTGTACATTTCTTCCGGCTGCGGCGCATGCGGCTGCAGACAATCATGGGTATATATACATATATATATACACATATATATATATGCGCATGTCCACGAACAATTTGTCGATCCGAATCTTCGCAACTTGCCGTTGACTTCAAGGTGGATCTTGGAACCACTGGGGGACACGATGCTGCCTTCTGTTTCGCCTACCGGCGGGCCGGTCTCTCGCTTGATGTGCCCAACTGCTGGCTGTGCGTTTACGTTGTGCATCTCCCCCCCCTGGCCTGCGCACAGATCAGCTTGAAGCACTTCGCGCCTCCGCAGTGGCTGGGCGCCTGCGGGGCAGTCTCCACGACGTAGGGGCTCTCGATGGTGGTGTGCCGGTCCATGGCGACGACGTGGTCCTGGGGGGTAGTGGAGGAGGACGAGAGAGAGAGGAAGCGGCAAGAGCAGGACAATTTTCAGAAGCTCCGGAAGGTTGGGGAAGGAGCAGGAGGATGAGGAACGGGGGAAGGATTAATTCAGGAAGGAGGACGGGGGGAGGAGGGGGGAAGAATGGACGGACGAGAGGAGGAGCCGCCCCCTGAAGAGGAAGGAAGAGGGGAAACACCTCGATCATTGAAGTAGGAAGGGGTAGATTGGAACCTGGGAATTCAAACCATACCTACTTTTGACGACAGGCGCGAAAACTTCCAGAGGTCTGCGCCGACGTCTTGGATGGATCGGCGCTGGACGACCCGCCTCCCTGGCGCGCGGATCGCGCCATGGGGCGGCGCTGGTCAAGCGCAGATGAATCAAGGAAACCCGCGCGGACCTACGAAAGGCAATCTGTGTTGCTGTTGTTGCTGTTGCTGGTGTTGTTGTTGATGATGATGAGGATGAAGATGGTGATGCTTATGATGCTGATGATGATGCTGTTGCTGTTGTAGTCGAGCTCTCTTTCCTTGAACAAATTATTGTTGTTCCTCCGTCCGGTAATCATTCGATGGTCCAATTAAAATGCTTATCCCGGGGCTCCCACCCTGTTTGTTTACAAGGGAAAGCGAAGTATCACCAAACTTGGCCCATGGCCACCGAATTTCAACAACGACGGCTCCCGCCAGATGCTTCCCCACAATTTATTTGAAAATCGTGCTCTCGCGCGGGACTTCCTCGACACATCTACCGAAATCGCGCTCTCGCGTGGGACCTCCTCACAGTTTATTCATACGCCGCCCCCTCGACACTCAGGAATCACGCTCTCGCTTAGTCACTGTTGACGATTTACTTGGGAATCGCACCATCGCTCGAGACCTCCTCGCGATTCATGCCGGACGCACGCTTCAGCAACCCGCCTGTTCGACCTTGCCGCCTGGGCCGCCTCGCCCGTTAAGGCCTACCTTCCAGATCAGCTGGTCTGGTTCTGCCACCTGCTTTCTGATCCTGCCCCCCTCCTGCTTCTCTCTCTCTCTCTCGTGTTCCGTTCTCCTCCCTTCCCCTTGTCACTTCTTTCCATATATCCTCTCTTCCCCTGCCTTAGGTGCTGCAAGAAGTACACGCTGCAGGTGAGGAAGATCTACTCCCAAGTTGGGCACGATCGAAGACGAACAAGGCGGGTACCGGCGGTTGGGGATATACGTGTTGAATGGAACGCGAGCAGATCAGAGCGAACAGTCTTAAACTGATTGTTGTTGCTGTTGTTGTTGTGGCTATCGTTGTCCTTGGTGTTGCTGCTGCTGTTATTGTTGTTGATGCTGTTGCTCTTATTTTTGTTGTTGCTGCTGTGTTTGTGGTTGGGTCATCACTTCAGAAGAAAAGCTATTGTTGATCCCCCACTCCAGTAACCATTGTATTTTTCAATTCAAGTGCCCCCCTCGGGGCTCGCACCCTGTTTTTGATCAGGAAAAAATTGGTTTCCTCAGACTGCGTTGATGGGCCCCGAACTACAACAACAACGGCTCCCGCCTGAAACTTCTTCATTATATTTTGATCAATCGCGCTCTCGCGCGGGACCTCCCACAAGTCATGCAAGAATCTCGCTCTCCCGTGGGACTTCACCGACATTTATTCAAACGCCGCGCCCTCGACACTCAGGAATCACGCTTTCGCTTTGGCACTTCTGCAATTCACTTGGGAATCGCGCTATCGTTCGAGCTCTCCTCGCGATCCATGCCGTGCTCACGCTTCAGCTTCCCACCTGCTCGACCTGGATGCCTGGGCCCTTCCCGACCCGCCGGTTACGGTGTACCCACCCGATGGGCCCGCCTGGTTCTGCCACTTGCTTTCTGCTCCTAGCCTCCCTTCTGCGAATCCCGTGCTCGCTATTTCCCCCTCCTTCTTCCGTGCGCCCCTTCTTCCCCCCTGCTTCCAGGGCAGCACCAATTACATGCGGCAGGCAGGGAATATACATATATATACACACACGCAGGGGGTTCGATCGAAGACGAAAAAGGCTAGTACCGAGGAGTTGAGATAGACGCGTTGCACGCGAGTAGGTAGGAGCAAAACATTGTATAGTGATTGTTGCTGTTGTCGTCGTCGTTGTCATTGTTGGCGGTGTATTGTTATTCGTATTGTTGTGTTTGATGCTCCTGTTGCTGGTGTTGTTGTTGTTCATGTTGCTGTTGTTGTTGCTGCTTATGGTCCTGTTGCTGTTGTTGTTGGTGTTGTTGTTGTTGAACTTTCATTTCTCAAAAATGATTACGTACTATCGTTGATCCCCCCCGTCCGGTGCACATTATTTTCTAAATTGAAAGGCCTGTCCCCGGGCTCGCACCCTGATTCCCGGCGGAGCCCGGTGGAATTCCTTGCACGCCGGTGACTGACTGACTGACTGACTGACTGACTGACTGACTGACTGACTGACTGAACCTCAGGAGAGCACCTTGAACAACACATTTCACAACGCCCGCGGGCGCGCAAGCGCAAGTGGGCGACGCATTTCGACCCGTCCGCGGGCGCGCAACCGCAAGCGCAATTGGGCGACACATTTCGACCCCCCCCGCGGGTGCGCAACCGTAACTGGGCGACAAATGTCAACCCGCTCGCGCGTGCGCAACCGCAACCGCAACTGGGCGACACATTTCGACCCGCCCGTGGGCGCGCAACCGCAACTCGGCGACACATTTCAACCCGCCCGCGGGCGCGCAACCGCAACCGCACCTGGGCGACACATTTCGAACCGTCCGCGGGAACGCAACCGCAACCGCAACCGGGCAACACATTTCAACCCGCCCGCGGGCGCGCAACCGCAACCGCACCTGGGCGACACATTTCAACCCGCCCGCGGGTGCGCAACCCCAACTGGGCGACACATTTCAACCCGCCCGCGGGCGCGCAACCGCAACCGCAACTGGGCGCCGCATTCTGACCCGCCCGCAAGCGCGCAACCGCAACCGCACCTGGGCGACACATTTCAACCCACCCGCGGGAAGGCAACCCCAACTGGGCGACACATTTCAACCCGCTCGCGGGAGCGCAACCGCAACCGCAACTGGGCGCCGCATTTCGACCCGCCCGCAGGCGCGCAACCGCAACCGCAACTGGACGACGCATTTTGGCCCGCCCGCAGGCGCGCAACCGCAACCGCAACTGGGCAACACATTTCGACCCGCCCGCGGGCGCGCAACCGCAACTGAGCGACACATTTCATACCGCCCGCGGGCGCGCAACCGCAACCGCAACTGGGCGACGCATTTCAACCCGCCCGCGGGCGCGCAACCGCAACCGCACCGCTCACCTGCCGTCCTCCTCCAGAGGATCTGAAGCGGAGGAAGGGTTGGAGGGAGGCGGGGGGGAGGGGGGAGGGAGGAGGGAGGCGGGAGGGGGGGGGAAGTGGGGGGGGGAAGGGGGGGCGGACGGAGGGTAGAGAACTCACAATGATTGGGGGCAGACAATTTCTGCTCCCTCCCCCCCGTTCCAAGCAAGTGGACCTCCACGAGGCTCCAGACCCTGGATTCCTTATCCAAGGCGTCCACGGTCTGCTAGCGGGACGGGTGGGCCAACCGCCCCCGAGGGGGAGACGAGGCTTTGACGGAAACGGTCCGTGGCACCGCCTACTTTGAAATTTGGGGGCGATGCCGCGGGGATCGATTGCGCGTTCACCCGCGCGCAAGCTGCCCGCGGAAGTAGGTGCACTGGCGCCGTCTTATCCACGCAGTCTGTGGCGTCTTATTCGTGATCTGGCGCGGGAGCAGGTGGGGGAGGAGGGGGGGGGACGAGGAGGAAGTAAGGGAGGAGGAGGAGGAGGAGCAGCAGGACGAGGAGGAGGAGGACGAACCGGAGGAGGACGAGGAGGACCAGGATGGCCAGGAGGAGGAGGAGGAGGACGATGGGGAGGGGGATGCCAGGGCGGCGCTGCTTGAAAAGGCGCACGATCAGCTGCTTGTTGCGGAGGACGGAGGAGGATAAGGTGGTGGACGTCAAAGAGGATATGGGCGTGGAGGTGGATGTCCCCCTCGCGGCCTCCGGGCGTGATCCGCGATTCTCCGCCGGGTCACTGCAGCGGGGAATCCCCATTCCACGCTGCTGCCTCTGATTTATATGAAGGAACGTCTTGAAGGTCAAACTGCGCTGTTGGCCCCCAGTTTGCAACAACAACGGCTCCCGCCTGATACTTCCTCACAATGCATTGAAGAATCGCGCTGTCGCTTTGGACTTCCTTGCAATTTACCACCGGATCGCGGCTCCCGCTTGATACTTCCTTACAATGTATTGAAGAATCGCGCTCTCGCTTGGGACGTCCTCGCAACTTACCATCGAATCGCGGCCCCCGCCTGATATTTCATCGAAATTGATTCAGATGCCGCTCCTCGACACTCAGGAGTCGCGCTCCCGCTACATGATGCCTAGCGGTTCAAGCAGAATTTACGCTTCAACGACCCGCCCGCTCGACCCGCCCGTCTTCGCCTGCCCGCCCGACCAGCCCGTTAGGGACTGCAGTCGCAGCTCGCTGCCCTTCGCCCGCCTTCGATGCCCCTCGTTGCCCGCCCCCCCCGGGGCCCGCCTGCCGCCTGGGGCCCGGCGCTCCGACCCTTCAGCCAGCCAGGCCGATAATCCGCGCGACTGCCTCGCCGCCTGCCGAGGGCCAGCCTGTCGGCCCTTCAGTCCCCACCCTCCTCCCTCTCCTCCTTCCCTTCCTCCTCCTCCCTCCCTCCCTCCCTCCCTAGGCCCGAGCCGTAGTCGCAGCCATCTTGCCCCCTTCGGCAGGCGACGACTCCACGGCTTGAGCCTAGACGTGCCAGCCCCGCCGATCACGGCGCGTCGGGCCAGCCGTGCCCCGCCATGGCTGCCTGCTGATGTCCTGCCCCATGTTGTGCCGCCCACCTGGTGTGGCCTCCGCTGCTGGCAAACGCCGCCTCAGGGCGCGCAGGGTGGCCGTCCGGCACGCGCAAGTGCAGGCGCTGGCCGTGCGCGACCTGATGGG